GGTCTCACTGAGTTGCTTAGCACCTTATCATTGCTGAAGCTGGCTTTGAACTCCTGATCATCCTGTCTCAGTCTCCCAAAACACTGGGATTAAAGGCTTGCCACACAGTGCCCCACTCTGAGAGAATTTTTAATTTTGTAAAGTGCAGTATGTACATACCCATGATAAAGTTTAATTTTGGCACAGTGCTTTCTAGTGCAAAATGTTGGCTTCAGTCAGAACATGTTTTCTGCTGATGTCTTTCACCCACACGGTTAAAGTCTTTCCAGCTTAACTAAGTGTTTATCATGCACTGTGGTCCTAATATTTGCGATTTGAAGTGTGACAGCAAACTAGCATCAACTTCTTTTCCTTCTTCACAATGTCATGGGTAGAAGGCTTGTTCTTATCCCCAACTTCAATATATGATTTTTTTTGTTTCTTTTTTTTTTTTTTATTAAGTCTAGAGCATTTACCTTCTCACTTAAAACAAGTCCTTTACAACTCCTCCTGAGTTGCCAGCATTGCTACTGTTGCTCTTTGGGGCAATTGATGAGTAAAATAAGGGTTACTTGAACCCAAGCGCTGCCATACCACAACAATCAATCTGATAACCAAGATAGCTACTACGTGACTAATGGGCGGGTATCATACAGAATGGATATGTTGGACAAAGAGATAATTCACAACCCAGGCAGATTGCAGCAAGATGGAGTGAAATTTCATCATGCTGCTTAGAATGGTGCACAATTTAAAACTCATAAATTGTTTGCTTCTAGAATTTTCCATTTAACATTTTTGGACTGCAGTCCAAAACAGGTAGCTGAAACCACAGAAAGTGAAGAGTAGTTGGGAAGACTGCTCTTGGAAACTGGCTTCATTATCCTAATCTCTTCTCCTCTTAAAACTCACTGGTACAGTCTACAAGGAAAGGCTTCTTGAAGGAGATGGAAATGGTTGGGAGAGTAAAACATGCACGAGAAAGGCCCAGACATAGATTACTGTCTTAGAGATGTATAAAGAAAAAATGCACTATACATCTCCATATTATGGTGGAATTAAAGTATGTGGCTACGAGTTGTTAATTATTTGGCTTCTCATTAGTTTTGACACTAATGCAACTTTACTGAACCTCCTGCTTTCGAACTTGGCAAGAAGATTGTCGTTTTACACATCTATGAATGCTATTGATGAAACTGGCAAAGATGTCCACAATGAGAGTGCTATAAATTTATTTTCCTAATAAAATGTCCAGTTGTGCATGCTTAGATTTTCAAATTAGACCTTATGATGTCTGCCTCTTTCTGTCTTTACACTTGACTTTATTTGCACCTGCTGATCCAGAGATAGATGTTATGGCTTGGATATGAGGTGTCCCCCCCCCCACAAAGCTCCTGTGGTAATGCAGGAGGTGAAATGCTTAGACTGTGAGAGTGGAAACCTAACCTCTCCTCCCTATTTGAATGGACTAACTGGAGGGGAACTTTAGGCAGGTGAAACGTGGCTGGAGGAGGAGGTCACTGGAGATGTGCCCTAGAAAGGTTCATCTCTCCTGTGGTCCCTTTCCTACCTCTCTCTGCTTCCTGGCTGCCATGAGTGGAGGGGCAGTCTTCTACCACACCCTTAGGCCATGAGGTGGTACCTCACCTTGAGCCCAGAACCATGGAGTTGGCCAACCCTGGACTGAAACTCTGAAATCATGAACCCCAATCAACTTTTCCTTCTGTATTTTGTTCTTGTCAGGTATTTTGGTCACAGCAACAAAAACCTGACTAATGTAATAGGCTTCATGGAACAAGCCCTCTGTGAGGAAAGAGGATGGCCTGGGTCTTGGTTCTGGATTGGCCACCAACCACCTGTGTGCTCTTAGGCAGACCATTCACCCAGTCTCTCTGGGTCTGCTCTTCATACGTGGCATGAGATTAGGTGACTTCCAGGCTCCCTTCCAGGTTCCCGCTCTATGAATCTCTGTTAAGAATCATTATTTGAGATAAAATACACCCTAGAGAGTTTATTATAACAGAAAGTATTGGGGTTGTTGAGCCCTTCCTCAGACATCAAGAGGCTTTGGATGTTCACAGGTAAAACCTTGGAGGTCAGGATCTATGTCTTACTATCTTAAGCCCCCTGCTGTGCCCACTAAGGTGCCCTGCACTTAGCAAATATAATGTCTATTGAGGGTAGGATGAAAGGACAACTTTCTCTTTAAAAGGAGGCTCCTTTTCTACAAAGAGAAACATTTTTATGTCACTGTGGAGAGACTGATCATTGGGACCAACTCATGCTAGAGAGCAGCTGGAAAGACAGCGTATAGTGACTGTCACCCAGCCTGGGACATGAAATCCCTTGATGGCAGAGACCACACTTCATTCCTTTTCACAAACCACCCAGTGCCTAGCACTGG